CTTTCCCTCTCACGGGGCACCTTGGTTTCTTCGCTGTCCTCTTCCGTATGCTTCCTCGCTGTTCTTTGTCCTCAGTGGTCTAGAATTGTCGGAATAATATCTCACTGCGTGGCAGCTCTTGGCTGATGGAAGCTGACAGCACAATGGCCTTGTCCAGAAGGGTGTGAAGGCTCCTGCCCTTTGGTACCGGACACATGGGTCTGGGCCACAAGAGACATCTGAAGGCCAGCAGTACGAGAACAACAGGCCAGAATTTTAGAGGGGAGGTAGGATCACCAGGGATACAAGACCCATGAAGAATCGAAATCGACCATGCAACGTTTTCCCCTTCAGTTCTTTGTATTATAGAACAATGAATATAAATCTAGTCCAAAACAAATACATGGAGGAAATATACTATAAATATAACTGAAGCACATGTGTAGAAGCTTTCGCATCCGGTTGTCTAATCGAAATCATGCTTTCTTGTGTTTGTATCCTTTCCAGGCTTTCCCCTCAGACCGTCACTTCTGTTTTGCTGTTCGTGGGCAATCCCTTGTGGTTTGGGTGGAGGTGCGGATACTGTCTGTACCCCAGAGGCTGAGTGAACAACTCTGGAAGAGTCTCGATGCTAAACTGACGCTTGTTGGAGAAGGCCTGGCGCCGACTGTTTGGTTGGGACAGTGGTGGCTGTGGCTGCATCATGAGAGGGACCTGATGTTGGACATGGCACTTGTTGGGGTCCCAAACTTTGAAGGCTGAGCTCGAGGTGAGTGGGTGGGTGTTAGTCTTGGAGATCTTGGGCTTGGAGACTTGAGCTGACGTAATGGTGATGGCCAAAGGAGTATGGATGTCCGGAGGGGGAAGAAAGGGTTTGTCTTTTGGATGGAAAGCAATAGGCTGGAAGGTTGCAGGCGAGGATTGGCGGTGTGCGTAATCCATCATGGGGTAGTAATCCCTTGCTGTGGTATCTGCAGAGAGAAACGGCAGGAAAAAAACAAACAGAAATAAAAAGGCTAACATTGTGACAAATATGCAATACGTTCATTTAATAGTGTTGCTTCTACACTCACATACCCTACGGTGTACAAGCCTAATGTATTTGACTATATTTAGTGTTTAGAGGATCTAATAAGTAAAACACCTGGAGCAGAGGGTCATCAAGCGTGACATGAGGATGCCCTCAGCTCTTTTTTGTGTCACGCCACACACATGCATGCATGCATGCACATACATACAATGACTTTAGGGAGCTGTGGCTGTTCATATCATGGTCATGATGAAATATGAATTATATAGGCAGGACTCTGTTTGAAAGGAACAATGCAAGGAATGTCCAGTGAAGAGAAGATTCACATAGTTGAAAGGAGACAGTAGAATGGTTTGTAGTTTGATCTGGTTTTGTTTGTATGGTTAAAATGTGTTATATTGACACTTTGAGGTACAGGGACAACCTACGAAGCAGGTTCTAGAACATTTTTAAAACGTTGTACTGCAACATTACCCAGCTGAAACCAAAAAGCACTTTCTGTGAAATGTTTTAAACTTGATTGGAGCAACGATCCACAGTTTTACCTGGTGTTTACTATGGTAATCTCACTACAGAAGCTGCCGTTATAAATGCAGAACTATAATTATTATGCACTATTGTGTGTAATATTTTGATTAGTGATATTTACAGTGGCTTGGTAAAAGTTAGGTACAGTGCCTTGCGAAAGTATTCATACCCCTTCATTTTTTTCCACGTTTTGTTGTTGCTGCCTTATGTTAAACTGCTTTAAATTACTTTTTTCCCACATCAATCTACACTCCATACACCATATTGACAAAGCAAAAACAGAATTGTCACAACTTCGTAAATTTATTAAAAATAAAAAACTGAAATAAGTACATTGCATAAGTATTCAACTTATACTACTACTTATACTACTAGTATTCAACTTCAACTTTATAACTAAATATTTAGCTGAAGCACCTTTACAGTCTCAAATCTTTTTTGTTTGATGCGACAGGCTTTTCTCATCATCATTTGGCTATTATCTGCCATTCTATTCCTCCCTTCTTCACCTCTCAAGCTCTGTCAGGTTGGATGGGGGCAGACGCACATTTTCAGGTTTCTCCAGAATTATTTGATTGGGTTCAAGCTCAGGCTCTGGCTGGGCCACTCAAGGACATTCACAGAGTTGTCTATAAGCCACTCTTGCTGTGTGCTTA